GTTGCTGGGAATTGAACTCAGGACCTCTGGAAGAGCAGTCAGTGCGCTTAACCACTGAGCCATCTCTCCAGCCCCCAGAGAAAAGAGTCTTAATGAGGGACAGTCTAGATTGGGTTGATCTACAGGCTGGTCTTTATTATCTTTCTTATGTTAACTGAGGTGGTAAGACCCACAGATTGTGGGCTGCACCATGTCACAGGCTGGCTGGCACCTGGACTGAACGAAAAGAGAGAGAGAGAGCTGGCCACGGCGTGCATGCATTCACTCTCTCTGCTCTTGACCGTGGATGGGGCTAGCTGCGTAAGTTCCTGCCACTGTGACTTCCCCACAGTGACAGACTCTAATCTGTGAGCTAAAACCAACCCTCTGGGGACTGAAGACACGGCCCAGCAGTTAATAGCACGTGTTGCCCTTGCAGAGGACAGCGGTTCAATTCCTAGCTACTAACCATCCGTAAAACCACCTCCGGGGGATCCAATGCCCTTTTTTGAACTCCTGGGGCACCAGGCAAATCCATGGCGCACATGGCACATGTACACACATGCAGGCAAAACATTCATTCATACACACAAAATAGACCTAAAATTGAAATAAATAAGCCCTTTCTCCCCTAACTCGCTCGCCTCAGGGCAATGTGTCACAGTAACAGGAAAGGAAAGGAAGACACTGAGTAAAGACAGCCTAGGGCAGTATGTGCTGAAGATGATCACAGAGAGGCCAGGCCCTCTAGGGTAAGAAGGGCGGGCGGCACTATTCAGGCCTCGTCAGAGATAGTACAGGTCCTCAAGGGCAGTTGAGGCTTTCAAAGTCTATGGAAGAAAACAACTTGGATTCCATATTAGGTGCCCAGGATTTAAACTGTTACTAAAATTCATTTGGCTACCATTAAAAAGCACTGGCTGTTTCAGGCAGTGGTGGCTCACACCTTTGATCCCAGAAGAGGCAGGCAGATCTCGGAGTTCAAGGCCAGCCTCGTCTACAGAGTGAGTTCCAGGACAGCCAGGGATACACAGAGAAACCCTGTGTGAGGGACAGGGGAGTCACTGGCTGTCATTTATGAACCATACTACCCTATCAACTTGCTGCTAAGGCTAGCTCATTTACCAAGAAACAAACCCAAACAAACAAACAACTTACCAGAACATTTTTGATAAATGCTGGATTCAGTTTGTATCGAGATGTGAATGTGTCCTGAAGTGCACTGCAAATAATTTAAAAGTATTGTTTAGAAAAATTGTAACACACAATAATAGAATCTCTACTTTTTAGGCAGATAGCTCAAGGACTGTTATTATTATTACTATTATTTTTTTTTCTTTTGAAACAGGGTTTCTCCATGTAGTTTTTGGTGCCTGTCCTGGATCTTGCTCTGTAGATCAGGCTGGCCTCGAACTCACAGAGAACCACCCTCTCCCTCCCGAGTGCTTGGATTAAAGGCGTGAGCCACTGCCGCCCGGCTATTATTTTTTTTTTTTTAAGAGAGGGTCTCACTGTGTATCTCTGGCTGGCCTGGAACTTGCTATATATGCCAGGCTGGCTTCAAACTCAAAGACCTAATTGTCTCTGCCTCTGGGACTAAAGGTATGCATCAGCGGCTAGGCTGTATAATTTGAATGTTATTTTGTAGCTATCATAGCAGTTTAAGTGGTTTAAGCCAGGGTCAGTCACTTGATCCTAGAGCTGTCCAGTGTCAGTTTGATGAGAAGCTGAACAAGTGTACACAGTACCCACGAATCTGCCAACAGATCATTCACAAATTCCAAAGGGGAAAATGGCAACTTGACAATGGAGAAACCTGGCAGACCTGGCTTGTAAAGGGACAAAGGACATCATGATTTCCCGCTATGAGTACTGAGAAAGGACACAAGATAACTTCTGTAGTTTTCCTGTCAAGGTACATAATAACACCAGTATAGATGTAATTACCATCAAGGTTGCATTAACACAATAGTACGTATGTAAGTACGTACGTACGTGATTGTGCACATCAAGGTGCGTAAGTACACAAGTATGTATGTAATTACTTACGTCCTCAAACTCTGAAGGTTGTAGGGGCTTTCTCTTTCTTTGTGTTTCAGTTGGATGGCGATCCAGCTGTAAGACAAGATGGTACCGTGTATAACTCAGTCTTTTATGCTGTTTTCCAAAGAGGCAAGCATTCAAATTCCGAAACAGAACTAGAGCTAACAGAACAGGTAAAGTGTTGTGGTAAACAGGCTTCACATATCCTTTACAGAGAAGGCACCACCCTTTCTAACATTGGCCTGCTGCTGACCATTACAACACACGAGGCCATTGAAGTCAAGGCTGATCGGCCATGCTGAGCCCTGTTCCAGAGAAGAGACAAAATGGACGGGCCCGGGGGTGCAGACTGTGAACTGTGGAGGTCGGGCCCGGGGTGCAGACT